ATGACAACTGCATCCGGAGCGAGCACCATGACGGTGCAGGATGGGCTCTGGGCGTGGCAAAGGCTCTGATTGGATGGGCGTGGATGTGGCTATGTTACGTCATGGCTTCTGATTGGATGGATTTCAGGAATAATTTTGGTCATATTTCATGCGGGGCAGCAGGAGGAGGCGATGCAGAGATATTTCTAAATTTGAAAACGAGTCGATTGGAGATGATCCGTCTCGTTTTTCATGTTCAAACCTCGGAAATAAAACCGGTCCGCAGATCAGAGCCGCTCCGGTTCTGTCAGTGTCACTGTGAGCCAGGCAGCGCGTTTTCTGACGGACCTTTGTTCTCTAACAGAGACGCTTCTGTTTAAGAGATCCGCGCTGACAAAGAGAGATCCTCTTATTTTAGCCTTCATTTGCATAAACTGCAGCACAAAAGCTGCAAGTCGGCCATTAAGATGACAATAAGTGCGCGCACGTGACTGTAATGAGACAAACAGTGAGACACGGAGTGGTACCGGTTCATCCAGTTCACACGAAAACCCACAGATTATTTATTATTATTATTATTATTATTATTATTATTATTATTATTATTGTTGTTGTTGTTGTTGTTGTTGTTGTTGTTGTTGTTGTTGTTTAGTTGGATTCAATTCAATTATTCCAATCCAGGTCAATTCAGTTAAATTATTAAATCAAATTTAATTAGTTCATTTCTATTCAACTCATTTCAATTTAATTTCGTTCAGTTCAGTTCATTTTAGTGTCATTTAGATTCCAATACGGAGCCATTTGATCAAAGCACAGCAGAGCTGAATTTATCTAATGGAGGAGCAGCAGTAAGGCAGTGACTGGAGCATCCGACAGTCATTCACACCAGAGACTGAAGCTGCTACAAAGGTTGTGTTATAGATGCATTGTTACCTTTTATTGGAGGTTTTCTTACAATTTTGAATCAAATAGAGAAAGGCCTCCCCACAGAATAATGCTGCCACCACCATGTTTAACTGTGAGCATGGAACAAAGAAGCTTGTCTGTCTTCTGCTATAATGTTGGAGGTTCAACCTGAAGTAATAAATCAATTAAATAATTAGCCTTGACACAGAATTCTCTTGTTGATTTTATTTAAAAAAAAAAAAAAAAAAAAAAAACAAAAAAAAAAAAAAAAAAACACCCCAAAAAAAAACACTAG